GGGCGTATCGCAGTACCGTAGTGGGGTTATGCCAGAACAGCCTAAATACTTAGACTTTCATGAGACCAAGTGTCATGGCTGGATCCTTCGAAGGTGGGCGAGAAGGGCACAGATGTGCCCGCCTGTGTGAGTGGACATTCTGGCAGAGGGCAAATGCAGGCTGGTAGGAAACCCAACCCCTCCCTTTGCCAGGCTTCCTAGAGGTGGAGACAATGACTGCAGAGTCCCCAAGATCTCTTACTTGAGTACATGGGCAGCCTCCTAAGTTTTTATAAAGCTCCATATTTAGCATGTCTAATGTACATTAAATATATCTTTATAGAAATTTAATATATATATTCAATATGTTCCCCCACCTAGCTATTTCTCTACCCTGCTACTACCCCATCCCAACACCCCATCTCCACCCCCCCCACCCTCCAGTATCCTCCTGTTCTGAATGATGCACTTTAAGGACAGGGAGTTACCCGTGTGGAATGTTAGGGATTGGGGATCGCCTGTGGGGAGAGGCAAGGAGCAAGTTCTGATAGCCAAGCCCAGTGGACCCATATTGAAGGATCTGGGGAAGAGACAGGAACAGCCCACCCCTCACCGCCCCCCCCCCAACCTGGAGTTTTACCCAGGCCAGACTCACAGACAACTCCATGTCCAAATTGAAATTTGCTTGCCCAGTCGACAGTACTGGGAGTTAATACTTCTATCATTGTATTTAGGAATTAATTTCTAGAGAACTTAATCACCAACTCTCTCCCTCTTCCTTTCTCCATTCCTTTCCCTTCTAATTTTCCACTTGGCTGGGAATTCTCCAGCAGTGAAAGTTCAGGCTTAGGGGAGGGCGGAGGGAGCTGCTTCATTAGAGAGGATAATCTCCTTGGAACCACTGGCTTGAATAATAACCCCTCCTGGCCGGCGCCTTTGTGTCCAGGGGCTGTTATCACCTCCACTGTGGGGCTGGAAGACCCAGCTGTAGAGAAAGTGGAAGGAGTCAGAGGCAGGAATGTGAGAAGAGCTTGACAGGGATAGAGTCCAATTCCAGGGGCCTTGGGTATCTTCTCGGGGCCTCCATCCTGCTGGCCATCTGCGGGTCTCTGGGTAGGCTGTTGGTATGTAGGAATGTCTAAAAACTCACAGTTATATCGGATGTGCTTTTTAAGTCCTTATGAGCTCCAATATTTCTGCTTGGAGAACAGATGAAGTAGTTTCCTCTTCTACCTCCAGGTGCTAGAGTGGAAGAAAATACCGTAGGAAGTAACTTGGAAAGAGCATCTAGGTCATTCCCGCTGCCCCCCCCCCAAACCCCCAGAGTCATAAATAGCACATTTCCTAATTCTTGCCTGGGCTAGTGGGAAAGCACAGGCCTGGGATTGCCCCCATAAGGACTCAGGATTTCATTCTTCTCCATCATCTTGCCTCATCCAAGGACAGTTGTCTGTGCGTCTGGACACTTGCAACCCTCCACCCCCAGACCCCCGAGGGGTAGCAGAAATGTCAAAACATCTCTGACACTGACCTTAAACTTGACTTTCCATGAGGAGTGCTGAGCCCTCAATGCCCTCTAAGAGCTAGTTAGAAGTGGGGCTGCAACCCCAACCACTCTTGGCTCTTGTCACCCTCCTGGCCTCTGGGGCTCCCCACCCTCAGTAAGATGAAACCTATCCCCTGCTTTCTATCTCTGATTTGCCCCATGGGCCAGTCTGGGAGGAGATCCCTGTTTCCGAAGCAGCTGCAGATTGGCGGGCCTGGGTGAGGAGGTCAGGGAAGGGACCGACTGACAACACAGGCTGCCATCTGCTGGGGGGCAGGCACGTGTGGGCACGCCTGGCTCTAACTGTTTTCCTTGTATGATCTCATTTAATAGTAACCCGATCAGATAGATGCTATTTTTGTCCCCAATGTAGAAGTGAGAAAATGAGGCACTAAGAGGTATATAATCTGTCCCAAATGACAAAGGTAGATGGGATATTTAAAACTGCCAGTGGTAGTATGTATAAGTCACATGGAGACAAACACCATAGGGTTTCCCTCGTATGGTAGGTTACAAAACAAAACCAAAGAACAAAAAAGCAAAAGCAAAGAAGAACAAACTCTTAGACTATGAGAACAAAAGAGTTGTTTCCAGAAGGAAAGAAGGGGAGAGTAGAGAAATGGGGTGAAAGGGTCAGCTCTATGGGGACGATGCAAACTAGGCTTCCAGGATGAGCATGAGGTAGAGATACAGACATGGGTGTATAGCCAGGTTGTCAAGACCTATATAGTGATACACATCAACGTTACATCAATAAACATTAGAAAAATTTATGGCATGCAATAGCTGGCTTCCCTAGGTTTGGGGAAGATGATAGGTCATTTTGGGGTGCTGAAGATCCATGGAAGAATGCAGCCATGCGAACTTGGGGAACAGCAAGCCAAGCAGCTGAGGACTCATCTGAGACTCCCCCACCAGCAAAAGAGATGGAACTCTTCCTCTTGTGTCTGAACCCCTCTCTGCTAAGTCCAGGTGATGTTTGGCCTGCAAGCAGCTTCATTTTTCCTCTTTTCATAATTAAATCAAAGAGCTTTTTCAGACCTGCTGATTGCTCTTGGAAATAGGAACTTCAAAGTTGGGGCATCAGTGAATAATTTAAGCCTGTACCAGCTCTCTGGATCTGCTGTTAATGGGAGTAATAACACTATTAATAGCCATGTCAGTGCAGACACCCAGGAAAAGTCCATAACATTAGCTTAATGGCTGGAGGTAATGAAGTCCTCACCGAGAGGCTGGTAAATTAACTTGCCTGACTTTTAGGCACACAACGTGGTTGCCATGGTCTGCTCGAGTCGCTGGGGGTGCTGCGGAGACAGCCACACTCATGTCTGACCTTTCGCTTCTGGGCTGAGATTCCAAAAAGGGACCTAAGGAACTCACAAATCGCAATATTACTTCAAGTGCTTCCTGGCAGCAGGCAAAAACAGCCGTCAGCTCAGAGAAGAAGGTTAAGGGGAAATTAGGCTATTGTCCGAAGTCTACGATGGGAACAGCGAGCTGTTCACCTGTGCTCCAATTTGGCCTGGTTCTGATTTGTGACGAGGGCAGGTGACTGACTCCCCATCTCTCAGTTTCCTGACCTGCAAGGTGGAGTTGTAGACGCTCCCAACCTCACGGCCCTTATCTTGGTGCTTCCTCAGTGCCTGGTACCTGGTACTCACAGTTGTTACTCAGAATTGCTTTTCCTTCCCCTACACCTTCCGTGTGCTCGGAGGTCATCCTCTGTGTCCCAATATCACCCATCCTTTAATCCGCATCCTGGTGTGATTTCTCCTTCATTTGCTAAGTCTCCTGGACTCTCTGCTGTTAGGCCTTCCCTCCCCCTGAGGCCAAAGTTGTCTTCCTCGTGAGACAAAAGTCACTTGCATCTCCCCGCTGGGCCTGAGACTCACCCCAAGAGCAGCTCAGGGTATCCAGACAGCTCTCGGTCCTGATGTTTAGCTGCACACCTCACCTCTCTGCTTCTTGAGGCACGGGTTCCCTCCAGCATATCCCCCCACTCGAGATCCTGGTCCCTGGCTATTCTGTTTCTTTCTAAACTCCTTGCTCAGTGCTCCCTCCTGCCACAGCCCAGACATCCTTCCGCCTCTGTGGAGTCTCTTCTCTGTGACTGAGAGACTAGCTGCCCAGGAAGATGTCCCTGACGTCGATCTTATTCACCTTGTCCGCCGAGGACCCTGCTTCCCTTCACGCCAGACCAGAGTCACTGTGCAGTCTCCAAACATGGCCCCTCGGTGATAGTCTGGCTTGTCTGACGTGGGTTAAATGCTCTACCCTGGAACTCAGGACCTTCCTGCCACCACAGCCTAGTACTTAAGTCCTTCTCCCTCTCCTCCTCTTCCTCCACCTTCTCCTCCCCCCCTCAAAAAAAAAAAAAAAGCCCAACAACGAAGACTAAAACTCCCTTCTTTCATGTGTAATTTGGGTAATGGCCATGATTTTTGACTGCATCTTTCTTTTTTTTTAAGATTTATTTATTTGTGCATACAGAACTGGGGTACAGGCCAGAGGTGCAGGTGCAGTCAGAGGTATCACCAGAGACAGAGTGGGGAGCAGAACAGGCAGATCGACAAAGAACACTGCTGAGGGGGACAACGGGCGAGTCAGGAGAGGTCTGCCGTGCCATGTGGATCACCTCCAGGGCGGGGATCAAACTCTTGCTGAAGTGGCTTTAGCTTCTTAGTGTTGTGCTTTAACCCGCTGCGCCACCAGGGAGGGCCCTTGAGTGCATCTTTCAAAAGTGCAATAGCAAAGACTAAAACTCCAGGTGACCCTGGCCAGGGCCCACCCGTGGACACACTATTCTGAACAGCACAGGAAGCTGAGCTGGAACAGCAAACCTCCTCCACAGCTCCCCTGGAGCCTCGCACTGGGGTTCCCATCCCGGGCAGCCTGCTCCAGAGCATGCTGGGAACTACTGCACTCCCTTCCACAGCAGTGGATCCCCAGACTAGTCGAGCATGGTTTCTTCTTTTGAGATGCTGGAGCGTGGCGGGAGAGGGCTGCCATGTCCTCTGAGGGATTCTAGACTGCAGAACTCCAAAGTGCCCTTAACTTTGCCGAGGGTGGAGTGGGGCAGGGGTTTGAGGCACCAGGCCATGTAGTTGGCCATGTGTATGTAGAGGGGTCGGGAGAGGTTGAGCAGAGGAAAAGCCAGGCAGGGCCTTCCAGACAGGAGCGTATGTGCTGTGCAAGGGATGGGCTACATTTCCGAGGACGAAGGAAGAGGGACTAGGAGCAGGGGACTGGAGAGGCCTTTGTGAATGAGAGGGCTTTAAGGTGATCCTCAAGCTCTTGCATTCAGCAACAGATGATGTGAAAGACCATCTTTTTCACGGGCATGACGGGAGGAGAGGACAGGCTTGCGGAGGGAGACAGAGAGGTGGGTCCTGGCTGTGTGGCGTCGACTGCGCCGTGATGCCCATGCGCTCTGGCCCCCGGGCCTGCTCCTGATGGCCTCTCCCTGCCTCCCCAGGTGCACCAGGAAGGAGCGCTGCGAGCGGTCCAGGGAGCCCCGCAGGTTTGCCTCGGAGGTGAAGCAGTGCGTCCGGCTGACGGTCCACCCCAGCAACATCTCCGTGTCTCAGTACAGTGTCTTGGTAAGGACGCTGCAGCCAGGGCCCTGGGGTGTGGGAACCTCCACGCCCTGTCAGAAAGGGTGAAGAGCGATGCCCCTTGCGAGGGCAGCAGAATCACTGCAGGGTCACGTGGGGTGACCAAGGATGTGCACCGAGGGATGGCGGAGGGGACTGCTCTGCAGAATGTTGGGGTGAAAGACAGGGAAAGCTGCAATACGGAATTCAAAAGGCTGACGGACAGGAGGGAGGGTCCTGGTTTCTAAAGTGGGCCCAGTGGATGCAGAGAGGGAGAAAAATGGCGAAAGATGATTCCATGTTCTTGCACGAGGCCCTTGGTCATGGGGAAAATGTGTTACCAAAATTCAAGATAAATGCAGAGGAAGCTCCTTAGTAATACTCCAGTCCTGCCCAAGTATTTCTTGCTATCTGCAGACACCCTGAACATTCCTGTTTCCTGGGGCCAGAGCCATCCAGAGTCTTCTCAAGTTTTGTTGCCGTTTATCTCTGTATACTCACCCCCTCTCCATACGCTTTTACAACCAACGGGGTCTCTTCCCTGGGCTAATATGGCCTCGTGTTGCTCTCTCTCTCCTTCCTCTCTGATCTCACTGACTCTCCCTCTTTCTTCCAATGTTGCATAACTTTCCTGTTCCCATTTCCTGCTCCCCTCCACTCTCCCCTTTTGGGTTGTTCACAGCTGGTCCTGGAGACCTACAATGTCCCGGAGCTGTCAGCGGGCGTCAACTGCACCTTTGAGGACCTGTCAGAGATGGATGGGCTAGTGGTAGGCAATCAGATCCAGTGCTACTCCCCGGCAGCCAAGGAGATGCCCCGGATAATCACGGAGAATGGTGAGCTGTCCCCGGAGGCAAACTGGGTGGGTGTCCTGCCTGCTGCCCGGGTGAGGCGAGCTCAGGGCAGATGGGGCTGGAGGGAGCCCGCAGGCAGGGAGGGTGGGATGGGGGGTCTGTTAGAGGGAGAGGGGGGTGAGGACCCTCCTGCTGCCCTAGGAATTGACTGTGGAAATCCGCTTAGTCCCCAAGAGTCAACCTCACCCTAGCGGAGCAGCGGCTGCAGAAATGGTGGTAGAGGCAAGTCCAGAAAGAATCAGAGGAAGCGTGGAGTCCAGTGATTGTGCTGGAGGGGGAGAGGGTGGGCAAGGAGGCACAGGGGAGGAGGGACATTGATCGGCAGCAAGATCAAGTTGGCCAGGGGAACTGGGGTCGTCTGGTTCCTTTGGCCCCGCCTGCCTGCACGCCCGGTGCCTGGACCAGGACCTGTCCCCGCCCCTCCCCCTCCCCAGGCCCTGCCCATTTGTGGCCAGCTGCACAGGAAAGGACGGGGGTGGATGCTGGCGAGGGGCAAGCTGGGCCTGGGCAGCTTGGTTCCACGTGGGCCTCCCATTCGGGCTTGTCACATTTGTTCGCAGCTGATTGATTAATGAGGCTCTTGGGAAAGGCATAGAAGAAGCCTGCAAGTGCAGGCCTGGGGTCAGCGCTGTGAATTAAACATGGGCTCCAGCCCCTCCCTGGCGCCAGCTGAGGACTCCAGTGCCTCCCACCCCAGTGGAGCCCTGAGCCACTTAGAAAAGGGGGCGTTAGAGTCGGTCTTTCTTTGCAGAGCTGAGGGATGAGCGCCTGTGTGCGCACACATAGACTTCCATGCAAGAGCGTGTGCATTTTTTTGTGGCAGCTTTAGTGAGAGCTACACATCTGAATCTCCCTGGTAGCTAGTAAGTGTGTGTGTGTGTGTGTGTGTGTGTGTGTGTGTGTGTGTGTGCATGAGAGGCAGTGATGAGCAATGTAGGGTGGGTGCCAGAGATACCCTGTGGAAGGAGGGGGAGATCAGAACCTCACTCTGCACACGCTCTCAAGGTTGTCCTGGAACTCTGCTGCATCAGAGTCCTCATAGAGCTGCAAGCCAATGTGTTAGCACCCACAGGAGAGCAGGCTCCCATTCTCTGGGTGTATGACTCTCAAGGGGACCCACACACACGACCCCGGCCTTCCCCTGACTCACGGCTGCACGCTTGTGATTCTGCCCCACAGGGGACCACCACATTGTCCAGCTGCAGCTCAAGTCCAAGGAGACAGGCATGACCTTCGCCAGCACCAGTTTTGTCTTCTACAACTGCAGTGTCCACAATTCGTAAGTACCCTCAGCCTCACGCAGCTCCCCGCTCCTGGGGTCAAGGCTCACACAGAGAGAGAAGACACCACCACTGGTCCCCACCATCTTGAGGCCCTATAACCAGGCTCCACTCTCCTGGTGCCCACAGGGTTAATAGAATGAGGTGAGAATGAGCAGAGAGGGGACCTGCGTGGGGGGGAGCTCCGACTCCCCAGCTCATACATCTTCTCTGGCACAAATCTGTCTAACGTGATGCAGCTTCCACCATCTGTTGGGGAGAGCAGTGCTTCTCACCTGCGGAGCAGAGCAGCCAGCACTCCCAGAGAGACGAGGGTTCTGAGGAGGACAGGGGATGGGAGTCCAGTGAGACCCCTGCAGGCCGCGTCAGGACTCAGGCTGCTGGGGGCCACAGGGGCCCAGCTCTGTCTCCGCATCTACTTCCCAGGGGAAGGCCGGCAGCATAGAGGCTTGAGCCCTGGACTAAGAGCAGCCAGGAAACGTGGCCAGATTGTGGCCTGGGCTCTTTGGTAAATGGGGAATTAGAGGTCCTCCTTCCAGGGAGGTCACCCGAACATTTAGCAGCTGGCCTGGCCAGAGCACGCTGGCTGCCCCGGCTCAGCCCACAGATGACCGAGTCTAGAGTGGCCAGGGCGAAGCCAGTGTTGGCCACTGCTCACATTTCTGCAGTGGTTACATTGTCATGTCCTCTACGAACTTGGATGAGAAATACAAAACAGATGGAAGTAGGAGCTGCTCTGATGGCAGGTTCAGGGACCTGGCACCCTCAGCTAGGAACCCCACACATCTCCTCACACTGTCTCTAAGGTGCTTCATGGAGTCTCCAGGGTCCCACAGAGCACAGTTTGGAAAATATAGAACCTGCTCCTATATAACAAGCCCTGCTTGTTTTATTTTTATTTTTTTTTAAGATGTATTTATTCATGCATACAGAACTGGGGCACAGACCGGGGGGCAGGGGAGAGGATTCACCAGCGACAGAGTGGGGAGCAGACAGGCCGATTGACTGAAGTACACTGCTGAGGGGATCAGCGGGTGAGATAGGAGAGGTCTGCTGTGCCATGTGGGTCAGTTCCCTGGCCGGGGATCAAACTCACGCTGAAGCAGCTACAGCTGACTCCATACTGCTGCGCTTAAACCCCTTGCTCCACCAGGGAGGACCCAAGGCCTGCTTGTTTTCATTGGCCGTTCTGACTTCCTTCTGAACAGCTGACTAGCATAACTCAAGTTTCTTGGGCTCCAGGAAGGTGAGATGTTAGGATCTATCTACTGGTGAAGGCAGCGTTGACTCCAGACCTTGGTGGTCTTTGGGGTCCCCAAATAAGAGGCAGCCAGACCTCAGAGCCAAACCAAGTGGCTTCACCACTGTAATTTTCTTCCTGCTTCTTGCCACACAATTCCCCATGGCTTTGCTTGATGATACCAGGAAGGCAGAGGTGAAATCACGTGTGACATTTCCACTTAAGCTATCAGATAATTTTAAGTGTCTACTGTGTACAAGGCAGTGTCATTCATTAAGCAGAAAGTATCAAAAATTAATAAGATGCGAAGAAAATCCCTGGCCTCCAGGATCCCTGGTCTAGTGGACTAGTGAATGAACTGGACAGTGAATAAGTGAAATACAATACAGGGTGGCCAGTCCTGTTCCAGAGACATGCACAAAGAAATTGATGGGATAAGGGCCCAATGAGAGCAACTCTCCATTGGACAAAGAAGGAAGATTTGCTGGCCAGGTAGAGGAGAGAAATGGTACTCTGGGCATGGCTATGGGGCATGGCCTGCTCACAGGCACAGCTCCAAACACAGGTGGTAACAGGAGACCTGGACACCAGGAAGGATCCAGGCTGCCTGGTAAGACATCAGCATCTTACCCATTGGAAAAGGGACCCATGTTGGGTTTAATGCAGAAAGGAGCATTTATAAAATTGCCTCTGATCCCTGGGAGTGAGGTGTAGAGGTGGCTGTCACCTCGACTGGAGCCCATCTCGCAGAAACAGCAGACACTGGACTGTCATCTGTAGGGGGAGGGGTGTTCACGAGGGCCAACGCAGGCCGGAGTCGGCCTGAGTTAAAACTCCATGTCTTGGGCCTAATTCTTATGTACTTCCAGGTGGGCCCCTCTCCTCAGACCCCACATTTCCCAAATTCACCAAAGAGGATGCCGCTCTTGAGAAGTGGAGGCCCTGGGGGAACTGGGGCTGTCACCAAGGCCAGACACTTGGCTTCCTAGTGAAAGATTTGTTCAAGATCTGCTCTTCTAGAGGGTGTGAGGGTGGCCTCTCTACATATATTTTTTAAAGATTTATTTATTTATGCATACAGAACTGGGGTACAAGCCAGAGAGAGGTGCAGGGGCGGTGAAAGTCTTCACCAGAGACAGAGTGGGGAGCAGAACAGGCAGCCTGATGAAGTACACTGCTGAGGGGAGCAGCTGGTGGGTCTGGAGAGGTCTGCCGCGCCATGTGGGTCACCTCCGGTGCCAGGAATCGAACTAGCACTGAAGTGGCAGCGCCAGCTTGCAGTGCTATGTCCTAACCCATTGTGCCATGAAGGAGGGCCTGGCCTCTCTTCATATTAAGTCATATCACAATAGGCCCTGGAGACTTAGGGCCTCTGCCTGAGTTCACCTAGGCTCAGAAACATGTCCTCTTTCTTTCTGTGCCCAGGTGCCTGTCTTGTGTGGAGAGTCCCTACCGCTGCCACTGGTGTAAATACCGGCACATGTGCACCCACGACCCCAAGACCTGCTCCTTCCAGGAAGGCCGCGTGAAGATGCCTGAGGTAGGCTGCAGCAGCCAGAATGCTGAGCTGCCTAGAGTACTTGCAAATACAGACCAAGACCGCACCCACTCCGTGCCACTGTCCACTGAGCAGTGTGAGGCCAGAGGGGACAAGTTCCCTGAAGTGTGGGAGGAATAAGATTAAAGCCTGGTCAGCTCATCAGCCAGTGTGGTGCTTCTCAAGGTGTGGTGCCAGACCAGGAGCATCAGGCCTCCTGCAGCCCACACCGGACTTGGCAGGTGCCACACCACTGCCTGGGTCTATGTGCACCGTCCAGGCCCTTCCTGGAGCCACACAAGTGCCAAGACCATATGGCAGCCCCCCAGGGTGAAAGCTGGGCACTGTCCTGGTGCTGGAAGTGTAAGGGTTGGGAGAGATGGGGAGGGTCATGGCAGGAACAGAGAAGCCCTTTGGTGCCTTCACCCTCTTCCCCCCAATTTTTATCCCATCGGGAGTCCTCACTTGAGCCAAACCCTTCACGGCACGAGACAAAGCAGAAATCTGAAACCCCCCTTCAAGATAATTAAGTGAGTCACTGTCCACCAGATAGTTCAGTTGTTCCTTCTTGCATTTTTATCCTTGGGCCTCTCACACACAAAAACTCTGCCGCCTATACCAAGCTGGAGAGCAGCTGAAAGCTCCTGTCTCCACTGCCACTGAGAGTCCTGCAGTTTTCAGACCAAACAAGAAGAGGTAGTGTAAGTTTCCAGGCACCAGGCCCTCGCCTTCCACGTGGGGTCATGGTGGCTGCCCTGGGCTCATCATGTGGGAAAGAGACCCTCACCTAGATTGCCCTTCATTGGAAAAGGGAGGGGAGAGGTTGCATTGGCTTTAGCTTCTTAGTGCAGTGCTTTAACCCGCTGCGCCACCAGGGAGGGCCTGGAGAGGTTGCATTGGATGTAAAATGTGCATCCATTGCACAGGAGTCAATTCTCTGCTCTTTAAAATCAAGTGGGGGTGGAGCTGCTTTGAGAAACATGGGTCTGACGGTCGAGGTCACACTGTTGGCATGAAGGGCCTCATGAGGGGCTGTACAGTCTCTCCCGCCTTAGGTCCTTATCTTGGGGCCTGGGGTCCGTTCCCGGGCCAGAGACCTGAGAAGCACCTCTTATTTGTTTAAAAATCTGCAAATTATTTGTTGGGACCAGATATAAAAAGTCTTCAGCCTCTCCCCAGCTGTCCAGACCCGTGTGCTGGCACGGGTTTCATATGTGGAGAGGCCCAAGGACCAAATGAAAGCAGAGACAATTGAGCTATCTGGTGAATTTCAAAGGCCCCTAATCATTTAATTACCTTGAAAGAGGTTTTCAGAGTTCTGCTTTTTCTTTCTTCTTTGCTTCCTTGTTCCAAGTTTCTTTCTTTTAAATATATGAAAGGAGCTTGCATCTGTTGCTCAGAAGGGGGAGGGGGGATGCGGGTAAGACCTAGAAGTGAGTAAAATAAAAGCTATCACATCTCTCAGGACAATAAAGGGATCCTGAGTTGTGGCCGTGTGAGTCTCTCAAGTGTCTGGATTTTGAGCCCCACACAGCTCTTGTCTGTACCTGGCCCAGGCCAAGGTGGCTGGGGATTCACAGCGCCTAAAAGGTATTAGTGCTGAGCCCCTGAGAAAGCAGAGGCCTGGAGGAACAGGCTGAGGGAGAGACGTGGAGAAGAACCAACCTCCCTCTGCTGTCCCTCCCCACCGTGGCCTGCAAGCTGTTCTCTGGCCAGCCTGGCCGGCCGCTGCAGGGACAAGACGCGCCTGCCTCCCTCCTCACATCATGGAAAGAAAGGAGCTTTGGCTTCTCTTTTTCTTGGATGCTGTTTAGCCTACGAGACTGAAGTTCTGAGGTTATACTTCAGTCCGAGCTTGGGTGTTGCATCCTACCCAGCTTAATTCTAGGGCCATTTTGAATGCTTGAAGAGAAACCAGAATTGACCACTCCCATGGCCTCTGTAGCAACATCTTCTTGGACAATGTCCCAAAGAGAAAAGAATCAAATTAATGTTGGTGGACTGTTAAGTGGCCCCTGTCTGTTTGGGTTAGTGAAAGGGCGGTGTCGTCCTCAGAGCTTGACAGAAAGTCCCTGGCTGCTAATGAAAATAGGATATTTTGCTAATGTCAACTTTTTCTAGATTTTTTCTTTCTGGAAGAGTTAGTGGAAGAAATAAGGGATTAAGAAGAAAAAAGATACATGTGAAAGTTGATTTTTACAAGCCTGTCACAAGTGTGCCATCTCCAGACAAGGGGCCCGGTTTATGTACAGCACCATAAGCTACAGTTACCCTTCACCCTGCATTAGCCACTCCTGAGCCTTGCTCTTGCTCTCCACATTGTGTGAAGGCAAAAAGGTGCGTGTGTGTGTGTGGGGGGGGGGGTTGCAGAACTGGGTTCAGAGAGGTGTAACAGAGGCCATGGGGCCACGTGATTGCTAACACTCAGTGGCTGTAAGCTGGGAACACTGGGACGATCCCTGTCCAAGAAGCAGTCTTATCAGGTGAGTGTTCAGGTCCAGGCTTAGGTGTCCTCGTTCTACCTAATGGGGTGACTGGCACCTCAGTCTTAGGGCTTCCATCTCTCCTGGGCATCCAGGCACAGGAATAAAGGTGAGGCCTATGTCCCTGACTCGTCTGGGAGTCTCTGGGGTTTCATTTCCTTTTAACCTTTGAGTGTGACGATGCAAACAAGCTCCTTTTGTTGACCAAGAGGGAGGCTGCCAGGTGGCTTTTTATCCAGCTGGCACCATCTTGTACCCCAGGAAGGCTTCCATCCATGTGTCTTCCCATTTCAACGTTGGCTTTGTTGACTGTCACTAGGGATGTTAAATTACCTCTTCCCCCACCAGAACAAAGAGTGCATTCAGGTGAAGTTATTGGTCTGGAACAGAGAGCTGTCCGATCATTGTTGTTATTATATTAATGGCACGTATTCTAGCATAATTACAGTTATTACAAATAGAATGCCCAATAACGTCTGTCGTTTGTGGTAACTGAATTCCAGTTACAAGGAATGATTTTGTTTCAATTAATGATGGCATGATGATACAACCCTGGATCTTTAGATCAGCTGCCAGATCCTGGCTACCATAGAGAAGAGAAAGAAGCAAGCTGACATGAGGCGAGAGCGTCTCATTGCTCTTGTTCTCACTGTCCAGTGTCAGCTGACGTTCCCAGGTTCCTGGTGGGATGGTCTGACACTGGGCAGTGGTGCCCTCACCCCCACCAAGTAACAGAGGAGCTGCCTGTGTCCCAGCTGGCTCCTCCATGGGTCACCTGCTCCACCCCCACATTGAACCCACACACTTAATCACGGTGGTCTTCAGGGAACATAAGCGAACTTCCATGGGAAAGCACACGCATTGACCAGAGTCTGTCCCCCATGGATAACTTTGCTGTGGTTTCTCATCTGAACTAAAAAGAGAAGTGAGAGGCTACTGAAGCTGTGTTCTCCAGGGCCAGGCTGGATGGGCTTTGCTGAAAGGAGAAGCACATCCTTTCACAGTTCACAGACTCAAAGGAAATTCAGCATGAGTGACTACTCCAGAGAACAGACTTATGATCAGAAGAGACAACATGAATCCTAACTGATTTCCTAAGCTATGCTTGAAAGGTTCTCCCAACCTTCCCTGTGACACCAGCTCTAGCCCTGAGATGAAGCCATATCCAGGAGTGATATCCTGAAGGGTGTCCAGCTCAAGGCTCAGTTCTCTCCAGGATAGAAGACCTAGCAACACATGGAAAGCCCTAGATCCTATTGCTGCAGGAAACCCCATGTCCTGAAGTGGGGCAGGCCAAGGCCATTGCCTCCCTACTGGATTTTTGAGTCAGATCAGCCAGTCTTATCAGCATATCAGTGTTATCAGTCTTATACTTGCCTTCTTGCTGAGAAACCACTCCTGGGACCAAGTCCAGGAGAATAAAGCCTCCCTTGCTATGTCCTTCACCCTCCTTGGAGAAAACCAGGCCAAACCCAGCCAGAGAACATGCTTCCCATCCATGCACCAACCCCCATTCCATTACCAGGCTGCCATTTCTCCCGACAATTGCATTCGCTATCAATCTTGCTGCCCCCCCCCCCATGGGTTACGGGTATTTCCTTTCTGTATTATTACTTGGTTACTTGGCTCTCTCCGTAAACCAGCCCATCGTAGATCACACTAATGGCATTATAAACTTGGGGAACAGCAAGAAAATATATGGTGCGTTACATTTTTTTGTATTGGACATCATGGGTCTGAAAAGGTGGGTGTAAATTTGGGGGGGTTGGTGGGACTTGGACTGGCTGATCTCTGGAATTGATGGGCACTGTGGGGGAGGTGAGATGACCTGCAAATCACTTATTCCTTCGCTGCTCTGATACCTTAGACGTAGCTCCAGCCACAATCTCCCACTGAGCTTCCCAGTGCCCGCTCTTGCCATCACAACCAGGAAAATTAGAGCCTCATCTAGTAAACACACTGGGGGCTGTAAATCCATCCACCACCCCTTCCCCAGGCAGCACCAGCCCTGAGGGCAGCCTTTCTCTCCTAGCTCCATAGCTTTCTTTATGTCCTTCTTCAATTATTTAAATATGCAATGGAACCTCTGAATTAAGCAGCTACTGACATGCTGGGCATGGGAGATGGAAGACGGGAAGGCCCTCTCTTTGATTCCATGCTTCGGCTCAGTGTCAGTGCTCCCTGTAATTTGCCATGCTGTCTTTACTTCAGTGTGTCTGGAAGTGGAGAGCAAGATATGTGCCGATGCATTGGGCTAGACAGTTGACTTGGAGCTCAAGGAAACCATCTGGGGGGGAGGGGAGCCAAGACATTAGATTTTTTTGTGCCTCCAGCCACCACCACTCCCCACTAGGTCTGTCCTTGCAAGGCAGAATGTAGCCACAGGCACAACTGCCTGCCGGGGACTCTGGCTTCTGTTGCAGCATTTGTCTCGCAATAATCTTGTTAAATGCAGGTGTTTTCCACCCTCCGAGAGCTGGCCCTTTCAAGTGAGGGTTCAGGAAAAATACCTGCCTTGAAAAGAGAAAAGGTGTCTGTTGTTGAGGATTTTTTGTTTGGGGCTAGATAATCAGCTGGGAACAAAAGTCAGGAAGATGATCAGGGAGAAAGATTTTGTTTGTCAATGTTGTGGAAACCGGTGTCCTTCATGTCTTTATCTGGAGCTGTGGGTGTCCGTAGGTGCTGTGCTATGAAGCAAGATCACATGTGGAAATATACGTGGAAGGTGAGGGAGGTGGAGAATGTGTAGTGGGGTGGGTCTTGGTGCTGTGAGAGCTGCGTTAAGCAGCAGCCCACGCTACTTACCAGCGCTGTGTTACTCACGCAGCTATCCCAGGTGGCAGTATGCTGCCTATCAGAAGAGGAAGACACTTTTCTCCTAGTAGGTAAGAGGAAGTCAAAAAGGAGTTGGAATAATAACATGTAGACTTCTTGTATCAAAGGGGGAGACCCAGAATGCCCAAGTTACTCCCCCACAAGGCTTCAGGTGCCATCTTAAATAACTTAGCTAAGAAGGAAGGCCTTTGCAGTTGGCGGTGGGAGAGAATGATAGAGGAGGGCAGTTAGGGGGTTACCAGGAAAGGCACAGTAAACACAGAGCACGCAGATTACATTTTGCCTTCTCCATGGGAAAGAGGTAAGGAGATTAGGTCTTCCCAGTTCATGTTACAGAAATTTATCTTTTTTCAACATCAAGCTCCACCCAGCTTTCAGAGTCTCTCTCACTCAATTAACTTTTGCCAAAAAGATGTATTTCGGGATGGCAGATTTTTGCCCTCTTATACCCCAAATGGCCGTGTGGAGGAGCAATTTTTTTTTAAAGATTTATTTTATTTATGCATACAGAACTGGGGTACAGGCCAGAGGTGCAGGGGCGGCGTTAGGATTCACCAGAGACAGAATGGGGAGCAGAACAGGCAGATCGATAAAGTACACTGCTGAGGGGAGCAGCGGGTGGGTCAGGAGAGGTCTGCCGCGCCATGTGGTCACCTCCGGGACAGGCAGGAATCGAACTCATGGGGAAGTGGCTTTTGATTCCCAATGCTGTGCTTTAACCCGCTGGGCCACCAGGAAGGGCCGGAAGAGGACTTTTTAATTCTATTATATTTAACCCAAGCAATGATTAGTACCTCTAAGAATCTGCTAATTTCAGACATGAATCCATAGTCTGCTTCCACAACTAAGGTTTCTAGTTGAAGAAGCAAAGGCAACCCCCCCCCCCCAACCACCACCACCAGTGCCTGAGCCACAGCAGAGGTGCCCAGAAAGAGCTTCCGATGGGCGTGGGGGAGAGACATGGAGCTTCCTCTGACATTTCCCTGAGGCATCAGACCTCCAGGTGGTTTTATACCTGGAATCTCAGTGCCAGCCAGGTCAGACCTGGGCAGCTGGGTGGGAGAGGACCGTGTGGTGCCCTGGTCCTTTCATGCCTGTTGCCTAGGGGAAAATTGCCATTTTACATTTCAATTAGGAGGGACACTAGGGTCAATCAGCAGCTCCACTGGAGGAAAATGTGGCCAGCCCAGCCCTGGGCCTCTCCAATTATTATTAATGAACTTACTCTCAGAGCAGCCAACCTTTTTATATGCAAACTAGGCCTTTATGGGACCACTGGCAATCAGGACTCATTAGAGAAATGTAGCAAGCCTCAGTGAAATTTTTACGTGGAAGAGAGGGTTTGATCTTCCACCGGTATCCTAGACTAAAATGGGCGGGCCCCTAGGCCAGCTTCCAGCCCACGGGAGGGGACCCCTGCTCCTGGTCGAGGGGTCCCCTGCTGCTGGTCCTTCAGTCTCAGAGAGATCCTGGCTGTCTGATCTGCCCCAAGCCTCAGGTGATCCAGACCACTGGCTGGAACTTGCCTCTTGCTTCAAAGGGAAGTAAAGATGGAGGATTAGTGTCTGTCTCCAGCTATCAGCACATCTACTGACAATGAGCGACTATTTTCCTCTCCCTGACTCAGTGCCTCCTTTGCCAAGGAGAGGGATACACTGAGCTGAGTGTTCATTGGGCAGATTCCTAAGCGTGGGATTGCTGGGTCATACAGGAGGTCCATCTTCAATCATTTGAGAAGCCTCCACACTGCTTTCCATGGGCCTGAACCAATCTACAGTCCCAACATTAATGAAATTTGCATTTCTGTGCTCATGGCAGCATTGTTTACAATAGTCAAGCTCTGGAAACACCCTAAATGTCCCCCAAAAGATGAGTGGATCAAGAAGATGTGGTATTTATGGAATACTATTCAGTATACACAATGGAATACTATTCAGCAATCAAAAATGACAACTCATACCATTTATGGCCATGTGGATAGAGCTGAAAGGGGTTATGATAAGTGAAATAAGTCTGAAAAAGAAAGGCAAATACTGGATGGTGTTTCTGTATGTCACCAAGAGGAATATAGAGAAATTGAAGAAACAGATAAAAGCCAAAATTAAAAACTAAGCCTAGAAAATTGATGATAGAGCTAAGGAATCCAGAGGGGGTGCCCCTGGGGAGGGGTGAGAAAAAGGAGGAGAGGGAGCATAATAGACTGAGCTGGCAGGGAACAGGGGCTTTGGGGGAGGTGCACTCTGGTGCCAACACTCGAAGGGGATGGGGAACCCCCAAACGCAAAGTGGTGTCAACCGACATTACCTCAAAGAAAGTTTAAAGCACAATATAATATGCTACCATTGATGTCATTAAAATAGCCAGGTGGAAAAATAAGTACATTTTAAAAGCTGCTCTGAGGATGCTCAGACTCCAGATACCCTCTAGGCATCATTCCTGGGCAGCAACTTTTATTGTGGAAAACAGAGAAAAGCCTGCACTTCCGCTCTCTCTGAATGCAGCTGCTGACCCAGCTCCCCGTAAAGACATGGATGCCCCAAGCCCCTCTCCTCTGCCCTTCCCTGGAATCTCAGTTCTTACTCTTCTGAAGGGATTGGGGAGGGGGGTGTCTCTGTGGAGAATCAGCAGTAGCCCTTGGTGTGCCATGCTCCCGAGGGGGAGCTTCCCCAAAGCCATCTGTCTTGGCACACCCCCGCCTCTGCCATAGGGGAGAAATCTGGCAGGTATGGCTGCCTGGCTCCGGTGCCTGCCAAGGGCCCCTCTCTGTCCATGCCACACAGGCCCGGGATACAGACCCTGCCCCCAGCCCCAAGAATCCAGCGATTCCCCCGGCCTCCACCGCTCACTTCCACCTTATCTCCTTATTTGACCCCATTCTCTTTGCAGTCGTCCCTGGGCAGAGCTGACCACATCAAGGAAGGAGACCCCTCCATCATCTCCTCCATCCACAAAGACTCTCTGGGCCCCACCCGGCTCCAGGGATGAGAGTCCTTTGCCAGCCTCTAGCTCACTGTGTACCTTCTCTGAAAGGCAGGCTATTCCCAGAGCTCAGCCAGAAGCTGGATTAAAAGGGTCTCTGGGACTTATTCCAGAACGTTCCCAAATGTCAGACGCAGCCCACATAGGGAAGGTCCTCCCGGCCCCTCCTGCCAGACTCCAGACTGCATTCCTGAGCCTGGGCCCAGCACTGCAGAGCTGCCCTCTATCCACACTCTCGTTAGCCTGGAACTGAGGCCAAGAGGTCGCCAGTCCGATGGGTGGGGTGCCCAGCCAGCAGGGCCAGTCTGAAAGGTCAGGAGGGGAACCAGAGGGACCAAATATTAAAACACAGCCTCAGGGAGGGTGGCCTGAAAATTCTCACCTCAGCTACCTGGGGTTTTGCAGCCCCGTTCCCTTCAGCCCGTGGCCGGGGGGCGGTCACCGGTGCCCGGCTGGTCTGAAGGTGAATCTTCTGGAGGACGGACAGGGTCAGCACCAGGTTACGTCAGGAGAGGCTCTCTGACACCCTCGGCTTCCTGCTCCCTGATTTGAGTTCTGCTGTCTGTCCCCAGGACTGCCCGCAGCTGCTGCGAGTGGACAAGATCCTAGTGCCCGTGGAGGTGATCAAGCCCATCACTCTGAAAGCCAAGAACCTGCCACAGCCGCAGTCCGGCCAGCGTGGGTATGAATGCGTCCTCAGCATCCAGGGCAGCGAGCAGCGGGTACCCGCCCTGCGCTTCAACAGCTCCAGCGTGCAGTGCCAGAACACTTCTGTGAGTGCCCAGGGCCCGCCCCTACCCCCCACTGCCCTGGTCAGGACTTCTCCCAGGGACACCAGTGTCCTGCCTCACTGCTTCCCCAGCCCTGCGGGGCCAGCCCAACCCCCTCCTCCACTGTTAGTTTCTGGGGTCCCTGTTGCAATGACAAGGGACCTCTGTCCAAGACTTGAAGCAGCAAGAGAGGTCTGGGGACAAGCCACCAAGCACTGCTTGTGGGCACGTGTGCTCGTGAGATGTATCAGGCTTGCAGATCATGCATGCCCATCCTCCCTGACAGGCCCTTCCTCTGCCCCCTACCAGGTCTGACCTGATGCCTCATTTGAGCCCCCCAAAGTCCATGGCTGCCTTTGTGTGTACAGAGGCTGTTTCCCAGCAAGGGGGCTTCTGATGCAAACCAAGCACCTGTGAAGGGAGCCGTGAAACTGGAGGGGCTGGTGCAGAGGGCTGAGGGTCAGTGCCTTGCCCACGGTGTAGAAATGCGCATCCGGTCCATGCCCAGCCAGCGAGGTCGGCAGCCCCCGCCCTGCTGCTGACAGCTGTTGTCTGATTCCCGGGAAGGGCAGCTTGTTCCCCAACTACGCACCTGCTTCCCTGCCTGTCTGCTCCTCGCCTGGCCCCCTGGCCTTTCCGGCCACTGCTGTGCTTCCTCCCTCTTTCTGGGCTCCTTCTATGCACCAGCTGTTCAGAGAAATACCTTAGACTCAGAACATCGCCCAGCAACAGAGACCATGGGGAAGAGAAATCTGAAGCCTCGGAGTGGGGACACATCTAGGTGTGAGGGACTGGACAGAGAGGCACCTTGGGGGCCTTCTTTAAGAATGCACTGTGCAGGGCCTCCCTGGTGGCGCAGCGAGTTAAAGCACAGCACTAAGAAGCTAAAGCCACTTCCGCATGAGTTCCATCCCGGCCCCTGGAGGAGATCCACATGGCGCGGCAGACCTCTCCTGGCCCGCCCGCTGCTCCCCCCAGCAGTGTACTTCATTGATCTGCCTGTTCTGCTCCCTACTCTGTCTCTGGTGAAGCCTCTTGCTGCCCCTGAGCCTCTGGCCTGTACCCCAGTTCTGTATGCACAAATAAATAAATCTTTAAAAACAAAAAAAAAAGAAGAAGAAGAAGAATGCACTGTGCAAATACACAGTGAGATGCGGTGGCCTGGAGTGCAGGCGCCAGTGCTGGAGCCAAGCTCCACTCACTTCTCAGTAACTCACTTCTCAGTAACCACCACCCCCACCCCCCCGCCACCAGGGGAGGGTGGAGGTTGGGAACGATGGGCCCCGTTGCCCAGGTGTGGACACAGACTGGAAGAGGGCACAGAGGGTGTGGTCTGGTGTCACACGGCCTCGCACTCATTCCTCCTGTGGCTTTGGGTGCAACCTGAGATGTTTGGGGCTGTGATGTGGGGCCAGAAGAGCGCGGACGACACCCTTCCTCCCATGAGAAGCAGTCAAGGGGCAAGTGGAGCTCACACACTTGCCTAGGATGTTCAGCATCACAGAGATGGGATTGGCAGTGTTTCTCCTAAACCTCAAATGTGTCCCCACAGCTCCCAAGAGCACTTCCCTCCCCCACCCCTCCGGCAGACAGGCAGCCTTGCTGATTTCTGCAGTGCTCCAGGTGAAATCTGCACGCCAAAGGGATATTAAACATCTCCTATTTCCTCATAAATCCTGAGGTCAAGCAGGCTGGCCCCAAGGGTTTGTCTCTATTAAGGAACCCCCTGTGGGAGGAAAAAGCCTGAACCCCACAACTGACTCAGTGGAAGGTAGAGTCACTTGACTCTGAACTTCTACTTAGAAGTTCAGACTGCAGCAAAAACAGCCTAGTTTCTTCAGAGACACTGTCCAGGGACCCGCTCCCCAGGGGGGTCAGGTGCACGGTGGACAGATCTGTTGTTTCTGATGATGAAACCTCAGCTCCCCTGGGAGAAGGGTGAGGAAGCCACAACACTGAAACTCACAGACCCCGTGAGTCAGCGGGCTCCATTAGACAGAGGAGGTTCCCCAGATGGCAACCTAAGTTCGCCCTATAGAACCGTTGATCAGAACCCCATTCGTGCCTTGGACCAATAGGAGCCTCCAGGAGGCCCCCAGGAACTTGTTGCTTTGCTGTGACTTGCAAGAATGGAAGGCCCCAGGTCGCAACGTCCCTGGGCATTTCCTGAGCCCGACCCTGACTTGGCAAGTGAGCTCCTTTGCTGTCAGGGAAGTCCCCAGATGGGCGAGCGTCCTGGGCACAGTGGAGCTCAGCAGTCCTGACAGGTGCAGGCCAGTCTGTTCTTGTGTGCCCCCCACGGGTACTGATGGGAGCACTCTGGTGGTAGCTGGAGGGGGCAGTAACAGGTCATTTGCCTTTAGACCAGGGACCCACAGTGGCCTCAAGTTGGGGAGCACCATGGTGTTACCTCCCTCTTTCCTGGTTGCAGCTGAGCAAGGTTCTCCAAGCCCCCTGCAGTCGGGTTGATGGACACAGAGCACACACACAGACTTCTTGTGTTGTTCTGGCTTGTTCATCTAGATGGTAGAACTTTCCAGCAAAAAAAATCTCCGAACTTGGGCCAGGGGATGGTTGGCGGAAATCTTGCCCAAATTACGTGGAGGAGGTCTTCTCTTTGTGTTAGGAGGTAGCAAAACTGAGGGTCTCACTTTCTCAAGGTCACGAGTCATGTCATCTACTAGACAGCCATGATGTGCCAGACCTTGATTGAGACGCTTGACCTCCTGGCCTCTGGGAGCCTAAAACACTCCTCCCTGGCTCTGGGTTTTGTGCAGATTAACTGCCCGCTGATTATAGAGAGCTATATAAATGCTAAATGGAGCTGGGGTGTGAGGCCTGGGGGATGGGAGTCAGGTCCAGCTGCCCAGCTGTGAAAAGCTGGGGAGCCCCTTGCAGGCCTTGCTGCCCCCCCTTCCAGGGGAGGAGTGAAGGTCATGGGGGAGGGGGTGTCCAGGAACTAGTCTGCTTCCCTAGGGACACAGGGAGTAGGGGAGCCCCTGAGGTCAATGATTTCTATAATATTTCATAGTCAAGATCCCAGGACTAGGGGGGAGACAGAAAGCAACACCCAGCAGATGTGATCCTCAGAGTCTTATTTTCAATTTCCTCAAGAGAATAGGCACACACACACACACACACACACACACACACACACACATGCACGCCAGAACATGAAAGCGCCAACATAACTTCAGCTGCAGCATCTCCACATGCACCAAGTGGCTGGCGCATAAGCACCTAATAAGTGGCTGCTATTATTATTCCACGTAAACATAAACACAGGGAATGCAAAGCTATTGTTTGTCTTGTACAGCATCCCCCAGGGAACACACACAGACTGAAATGCCCAGAGTCTGTGTGCCCAGTCTGTTACAGGACAGGGAGAGAGGGGGACCCCTGAAACCCCAAACCTGCCTTCTCTAAGTGGGTTCTACCATTCGCCACATCAAGACAAAACATATAAAACTTTAATGAAACGGGACATTAGGACAGTGAATATGCAATACGGAACACAAAGAATATAATGTCTAAATCAAACACCTGAAGTGACCCATCTCCTCGTGGGCAAAAGTCAACCCAAAAGGGATTGACCCAAAGCAAGGCCTGAAAGCCGCCACAAGACTAAAGCACCTTCTGGCCGGGACCCATCGAGAAGTGTCAGAAATGGCCAGACAAGTCTGGGAGCAAAAGAACAAAATCAAAATCAATATAAACACTGCCATAGTCACCTTCCTACAGGGATCTCACCCACATCTGCCTTCACCAGTCCAGGGTCAGGAAACAAGCACGGCTTCTTCCTCACATGCTCCCTGCTCCATGTGGCTTCCTCAGGTCTCCTTCTGGCTCTCCATCCAGCTTCCTTCCTCCTCAGATTCCTTCTCTTCTCTCCTTTTCTCTGCTCAGCTCCACCCTCCTTCTGGATGGGGGCAGGGAACCTGGAACTTCCTCTTTTCCTGGGGACCACCCTGGTACACTTTGGGTCATGGCCATACCTCCTCTCCTGACTGGGGCACACTACCAGCAACCGCGCTAGAGGCTGGGCGCCGTAGACATTTGGGTCAGCCCTGGCCACCTTCCAAGAGAGCTTCCCAGAGCGAGGTGGGAAGCCTGGGAAGCGGCACTTGCTAGAGAAGGAAAGGGGAGGGGGTGTGTAGAAAAGAATTCTCTCCTCCACAGCGTATGCACACACATGCAGGCAAGCACGTACACCTTGCCACGCCTCCCTACTTCTAGCCGACTGCGGGGAGCAGCGGTCTTTCCTTGGACTCTCCTAGCATCAGAATCTCCAGAGTAGCTTGTTTGAAATGCCCCCTTCCCCAGAGATTGCAAACTGAGCAGATCAGGTCAGGGTCCTAGAATCAGTCCCCCCCCCCCAATATTTCTGATGAGGTTGGTGATTAGACCGTGCTGAGAACCATCACTCTTGAGTAGGAGAAGTTTGGCCAGACTCAGAAGGACCTGGAGTGAGCCAGCCTGACCCAGGCATGAAGCCCTCAATCTCTGGGCAGCTGCTTCCTGTTCACCACTCAGGAGCTCCAGGGACCCTAGGTCTGCCCTCTTCCACAAGGGAAGAGAGCTTTGCTTTCTCTATGGGTTGAGACCACAGCCCATCTCTGGTGTCCTTGGTCACAAGTGAGATTCTACCAGAGAGCAGATGGAGACACAAAACCAATGCCAATGTGGAGGAAAGCCCCGTTTTGGCTTTCTGTCTGGGTGTGCAGCACCAGGGAGCTTGTGTGGCAGCGCTTGGGTGGAGACTGGAGCAGGCTGGCACGCACCCTACTCACATGTGAGGACACCACTCAAGCCGAGTCCCGTTCCACACACCCGTTCTGTGACACAGGCGCTCAAGGGTTTCCCTGGCTGGGATGATAGCCTCTCCTGCAGAGACCTCAGGGCGTGGCTGGTAACCCTCCCCAGGCCACACTCCCTTTCTCACCCCTTCCCACGTCTAGCACAGCGGTCCCAAGTAGGCACCAAACTCCCCAAGATATCTGGGCAGGGAGTGGGGACCCAGAGAGGATCCTGTACAGCTGAGGCCTGCCCCCTATCTTTGAGCCACTGAGTGCCTTTGGAGTCGTGATCTGGGTTCCCTGAATCCCTCATCCCTAAATTCCCACTTGGTCCTCCACTCTCGAAATTCCTAGCTGCTCCTCCCTGACGCCTCAGCCTTGCTTCCTCTGTCCCTGCTTGGAAATCCATCCATCCTCTCCAGACTTTGCTAAAGCACGCACCTCCCCAGCGTGTCCTGGAAATTAAATTTTGAATCAGGGGTAGGGGGCCTAGTGGCTGGTGTATTGATAGGGCTCCCCTGGATATTTGGGGAGGAAGCAGGCTCCTCCTTCAGTTTAAGTTGCTGGGAAAAGCCGCTGGTGTGGTAACCTCCATGGAAGTGGAAGGCAGACCTCAAATCTGGTCTGTGGACCGGCCTTCCAAATGGGGGGTCCTGGCCCCTGCCCTGCCTCAGTTTCCTGAACTCCTGCTCTAGGCCCCGGACATGTGCATCCCCTTACATGTGCATGTGTGCCACATATTATACCCCCTACACATGACAGTCCTGGCCAGGGCTTAGTTCCATGTACCCCCGAGGGCCCCCAAATCTCCAGATACCCCTGTGACCCCCTTCTCTCTCACACTCTCTGACCTGGCTGCAGTATTCCTATGAAGGGATGGAGATCAACAACCTGCCTGTGAACTTGACAGTTGTGTGGAATGGGCACTTCAATATCGACAACCCAGCTCAGAACAAAGGTATGGGGGTCTGGGCCTGGAAGGGAAGGTGGGGCCTGGAAGGGGCGGGAGGCGGGGCCTGGCGGGAGGCGGGGCCTGGCGGGAGGCGGGGCCTGGCGGGAAGCTGGCAGCAGACTGAAGGGAGGCTGCAGTTGCACTGTGTTCCTGGCAGGGATCTTTCCATCCTCACCAGTGATGCAACTGGTGTCTCTCACCCTCTGGCTCCCAGCAACCCTCCATGGCCTCTCACTGTCCCCACTGCTCTAAGGACTCTTGACCATAAGCTCCAAGTAGGCTGGTGGCCTAGGGAAGGAAGTAGAGTGAGCAGACTGGCTGGAAGGACAACTGCTGACCCGAAAGGGCATCCCTGCACCCCAATCAGTGGTGTCTGCTCAGCCCTGGAGCTCTGTTTGTGTCTTCTCTGTGTCAGAATGGCTAAGGGAACACACTGTCTCCATGTCCCGTCATCTAGTGACAGATGGCACCCCTCGTCCACCCCCCCAGCCCCCCACTTCCAGCTAAAGCACCTCTTGCCCTTTGCCTACAGTTCACCTCTATAAGTGTGGAGCTATGCGCGAGAGCTGCGGGCTGTGCCTCAAGGCAGACCCAGCCTTTGAGTGTGGCTGGTGCCAGGGCTTGGGCCAGTGTACCCTGCGGCAACACTGCCCGCTGCAGGAGAGCCAGTGGCTGGAGCTGTCGGGTGCCAATAGCAAGTGCACAAACCCCCGCATCACAGAGGTAAGCAAGCCCTGGGCTGCTGGCCGGGTGGGTGGGCTCCAGACTAGGAAGGGTCCCCCAAAACACTGTGCCTGCACCCCAGTGCTCTTCAGGGGGACTTAGATGCCCTAGCCAGTGGGGCACATCCTTGTTTTCTGCACAACCTCCCCAGAAGTTGCAGACTTGGCTCAGAGGCCCTTTCCTTACCAAGGGTGTTTGAAAACAAGGAGGCCCTGCTGCTCGGTGGGGATCTCGGGGGAGGGGTGTCAGAACCACCTCCCTTGTCTCTGAGAGCCTCCTGGGTGACTAGCAAGGCTGAGACGCTCTATTAACAGACTCACAAGCCCCGAGCAGAGGCAGCTTAGGAGCCAAGAACAGAGGAGACATGGTCTGGATGTGAGGGCCTGGGGGAGTGAGGGGAAGGTGGAGAAGGTCAAAATGTAGAGGCCTCAGGACTCACTCAAGGCCTGAGCTGTAACACGGTAGTGGGTTTGGAGCACAGTTCAGGAGACTTGAGGGGTCCAGGTGATGAAGGGAAAGCACGAGGGGCAGGATAGGGCTACAAGGGTCCCCACATCGTGTCTGTGAACGGCAGGAGGGCACAGGGCCGTGAACACTATTCCTAAAGCCACACACAGCTGACTGCTCCCCCAAAGCCCCTGCATTTGGGTGCCTGGCCTGGGCGCCTCCTGGACTTGGCCCCATGCACCCAGGAAATGGGTGAGCCAGCAGCTGCTCCTTGCCCCCCATCCTCTCCATGCCTGTCTAATGCCTGCCTTCCACCCTCCAGATAATACCAGTGACAGGACCCCGGGAAGGAGGCACCAAGGTCACCATCCGAGGGGAAAACCTGGGTCTGGAATTCCGGGACATCGCCTCCCATGTCAAGGTGGCCGGTGTGGAGTGCAGCCCTTTGGTGGATGGCTACATCCCTGCAGAGCAGTAAGTGAAGATGACCACAATAGGCATTTGTGGGTGCTGGATCAGCCCCGCCAGCTGCAGGTGGTCTTAGGGCTGTGAGGGGCCGGGAAAGGAGAACGCCTCTGATATTCGAGGGGACATTCCCACAGCTCTCTAGTCCTGAACTAGTTAGCTGCCACATTGGGGATGTGGCAGAATGGGGAAGGAGACATGACTGGGGCAGAGGGCAAGTGACTGTTACCTCCTGGGGGTGTGGTAGTGGGTAGGAGAGCAGCAAGGGTCAGTCAGTTGTCCTCAGCAAGACATGTGTGGGTTCAGTTCTATCCCCCAGCTGCCTCTACAGTCCTGACTCCCCAGCGGGGTCCACCCAGAGGACAAAGAAGCTGATACTATTGTGTCCCTCTATGAAAGCTAAAGTGAACTGTCATGCCCACTACCACTCTGGGGACTTGGGATTGTTTTCTCTTCCTCTTTGCAAAGTCTGCTGCTCCCCTGAGTTGTTCATTCAGTGAGTGACCTTGACCTCTAAGCCACCCCTTGTTGCCTTGTAAATAAGCAAACATGAGGGTTTTGAGCCCACCAAACAGCAAATATACAACCAACACAACTTTCCATGTCCTTCCTGGAACAAAGCCAAGCGATATCTTGTGATTTCGGGAACTTTGAAATGCCCTACTCTGGGCCTGCATAGCCAGATATTTTTTTTTTTAATTATTATAAAGCCATAGAATTACTTAGTACTATGATACTAGATAGATCTGTGGAATAAGAATGAACACCCAGTAGAACCCCGATATATAAAGCTTTAGTATTTAATGATGAAGTTGATATTTCAAATCAAGAATGAAAGGAAAGACCTTTCAATAAGCACCTCCTGTTAACTGTGAAAAAAGCCTTGCTTTAGATCCTGTTCTGCATTGTACAGCAAAACAAATTGAGGTGGATTAAAGAGTTAAATGTGAAAAATGAAACTGTGAAAGGATTAGAAGAAAATACAGGTGGGAATTTATTTGATCTCAAGAAAGAGAAGTGTGCTAAGTATATCTGAAAAGAAAAAAATTAGAAAGGAAAAGATTAGGTGATTTGAGTACATTAAACTTTAGAAAGTGTTCAGCAAAAATCATTGTAAGCAAAGCAAAAATGGGGATAAACTAGGAACAGGCGATAGTTACAGATTTTTCTCGTTAAGTAATTATTTAAGATAAATTACTGGTTTCATTAATTTTTGTTCTTGTTTTTCTCCTTCCTATTCACTGATTTCTATTCAGTTTTTACTATTTCTTCTGCTCTTTTGGGTATCTTTCTTCAGATAAGAGATGTGGATTAATTAGTTAATTTTTACAGAGGAATAATTGGTCTATAACATATGTTCATTTCGCCTATAACGGTTAATAGATGATTTCTCTAAAGAGGTCCTATAAATAAAAAGCAAATATCACAAAATGAGCCAAGAGCATGAATGTACAATTCTCAAGGTACACAGTAATACCCAATACACAGATTAGTTTTAGAATGGCAAAAAACTTTTCCTAGATAGCCAGAATGCACAAATATTTATTTGCAAGAAAGCTTATTTTGGGATTATTTATAATAGTGAAAATGTAGATGTAATCTCTATGTCTAAATGGCATGGGCCAGCTAACTCGTGTCTTCCTCACCCCCCTGCCCCCCAAAAATCTCCACTCGCCATCGCCGTTTCCCACCTTCACAGACCCTGCCCTTCCATTCGCTGCGGCTGGACTGCCACATCTAAATATAAGGACTCAATAAATTCAGTAAATGATGGTATCTGCAAAGAACAGCCAACTGCCCAGTCATTAAATCTGACATAGGTCACCCAGCAGAATATAGAGTTCTAATTACTTTCGTGAAAGAAAAGGTAGACTGGAAACATGTACACCAAAGTGTTGACATTGGATGCTTCTGGATGATACAATTAGGATGGTGCAAGGAATGTGTATTGATGGCAAGTGCCTTTATGAACTTTCTGGGTTTTATACACACACATGCACTGTGTATCAATGTATACACACTTACACACACATATTGAGCACATGTTAATTATGTTACTGGACAGAGAGGCATGTATTTTTGCCTACTCTTACTCCAAGTTCTTTTGGAAATCCAGAAGCTATAGAGTAGGACAAGAAGCAATTTAAGTGCACAGATACACTTTAGTGTGGCAAAGACATCATACACAACGGTGGAGGATAGGCGACTGCCGAAAAGAAGCACTTAGCACAGACAACAAAGTCAGTGCTCTTCCTGCATGAACATGAGTGTCCCTCACTCGTCACCAAGAAAAGGAAATGGGGTTTTTGGTCCCTAGCCTGCTGGGAAACCTTTCAAAGGGTTGGTCATTTCCAGCGTTGGCCAAGGGGTTACGCCATCTACTCACACGCGTTTGGCAGAGCACAAAGGGGAAGCCGTGGTTCCAGCCCACCTCTCAAACATTAAGTGCACAGGTAGGCCAGTCACGGCCTTCCAGAGAAAGGATAAACAGACAGTGCTTCAGGCTGTGTACAGACTGCTTCGTTCTAAGGATTATTTGGAGAGGAAAAGCAGGGGTAAGGTAAATATACATCTGAAGGAGGATGGCTTAATAAATGACTGTACAGGACTCAGGAAATTCTCCACAGCTGTTGAAAAGAGTGAAGTGGAAGGAAGGGAGGGGATAGAAGAGTGGGGAATTAGACTTTGATTTTAAAAATAATTCTTACTTCAAAAGCCTTTCATTTGAAAAAGCATGTTGTTTATACATGTTTGTATATAATTATATGTGATACCTATAAGCCATATACACACACACACACACACACACACACATATATATATCTTATCTGTGTATGCGTGAGTGTATGAGTGTGTATGAATATATGTATTTGACAAGTCTCCTAACTTTTCCACACCTCAGTGTCATCACTTTGAAAATAGGGCCCATATACACACACACATATATATGCACACACACACACATAAAGATATATACATACATATATCCATATATGTAAAGATAGATGCAGATGTATATATTTGCATAGTTCTAGAAAAGGTCTGTGAGGATACAGTAAACGTATAAGAGGTTAGGAGTGAAGAGACACGTTTTATGTCAGGATTCTAAATTGTCTGGCTGTTTTCAAAGAATACAAACAGACTGTAATTAAAGCAGTAAAAAAGCTTTTGAGGGCCCTCCCTGGTGGTGTAGCGGGTTAAAGCACTACACTAAGAAGCTGAAGCCACTTCTGCATGAGTTCGATCCCCGCCTGCCCCGGAGGTGACCCACATGGTGCAGCAGACCTGACCCGCCCGCTGCTCCCCTCAGCAGTGTACTTCGTCGATCTGCCTGTTCTGTTCCCCACTCTGTCTCTGGTGAAGCCTCTCACTGCCCCTGAGCCTCTGGCCTGTACCACAGTTCAGTGTGCACAAATAAATAAATCTTAAAAAAAAAAACAAAAACAAACAAAAAAAACTTTTGAAAGGGAGTCATGGATGACGGTTGTCTCCATACCCCCATATACCCACTTTCCCCCTGCCCACCCCGGGGGGGCTGGGAACAGATTGCTCCTAGGCCAGGGCCTGAAAGCTTAGCTGCCTCCAAGGTCCCGCTCTGACTTGCTGTGACCACGGGTGAGTCACTTTACCTCCCTAGGCCGCCAACACTGCTCCCTACGATGTCTGGCACACATATTCCCTGCACTCTTTTAATTCACAACTGAGTGGCTTTTTTTGTGAATTGGAAAAGAATTTCTGAGATCAGAACCCCAGGCCCTCTCCTGGGCTCCGAACTCTCTGGAGGGCTTCAAGAGACCCCTATAGTTTGCTTTTCCTCATCTCCCAAGAGTCAAGGAGGGGGATCCCTCCAGGAAGGGCCAGGGGGATCTGATATCTCCCCCTCCTCTTTCCCGGTCCTGTCCCTGAGAAGCAGCTGGGGAAGTGTGGGACTCAGGGGTCACGCGGGGGGCTGGGGTCCTGGGAGCCTCTGGTGCCTCATGGGGTCTGTGCTCTCCCCCGCAGGATTGTGTGTGAGATGGGGGAGGCCAAGCCCAGCCAGCATGCCGGCTTCGTGGAGATCTGTGTGGCGGTGTGTCGGCCCGAGTTCATGGCCCGGTCCTCGCAGCTCTACTACTTCATGGTGAGTCCTGGCCGCCAGCGACCTGCCTGGGCACAGGACACAGATGTCTTAACTGTGACAACGGCACGCTCAACCTTTGTGAGCAAACCCAGAGCCAGGTCCCAGGACTCTTGCCCTATAGGGGTCTGGACAACCTGGATTCAAATCTAGAAGGCCTTGAGCCTGTCCCCTGGCCCCAGGGAAGCTGCTTTGTCCCTGGGATCCCATCATCCCTCTCGCCCTGGGCTGCACATTGGGATTCCTAGGGGCTGAGCTCGCTTACTAACAGTCAACCTGGAAAGTTTTCACACTTTCTGTGCCTTATTTGCAACATGACTACAGCATGCACCCCACAGATCATTGTGGAAATGACATGAGGCATCACTTTCAGCATCATGTCCTGTAGGATATCTGTGATTGACACCCTGCCTGGATAGGACACCCCACCATTGCCACCCCATCATCCTGTCCTCACTCTTCCCACTGCCCTCACTCACCCACATGCCTGTTCCATGATCCCTTAAACCCCACTGCATTACCCAACATGTCACCTGCACCCCCACTGACTCTCCCTCTACCCACAAATTACCCCCTCCCACAATGACACCCCTTTCCTGTATCTCTCTCCTCACCCCATCCTCACACCCCCTCCAATTGAGCATTTCCTGCAAAGGCTGCCTGGCAAGCTCCTGGCAGTGCTGGGCAAGAGGTTCCGTGGGGCAGGGCTTTGGGAACCACACAGCCTCGTGATGAGTGGGGCAGGAGCATCAGATGCCTCACGCCAGTCACCCTCAGAGCTCTTGGCCCTCCAGGTCATTTCGTAATGGCCTCTGCACTGACAAGATTTCCTTTTGACCGTGTGACTTCGGGAGCCTGAGCCTGGAGGGACAGGTTTATGCCTGAGCATCAAATGCAGCGGGTTTTATAAACACAGTGATGCACAACCTCATAGAAGACCACACCGAGGTCCGATTGGCATGGATGTGTTGCTTCATTTGTTTAGGATTTAGCCTGCTCCTGGAAGGAGTCCTAATCAGTGATCAACGCATGTGCTTGTATATAGAAAGAATATATCCATTATATGCCTCGCGGAGTTATATATACATGTGCACTGCCATTCCAGGCAAGCTGAGATGAGGGAAAGAAAAATTGGGGTACAGACAACCCACACCTAAGACTTGAGAAGTGTGGGGTGTAGAGGGTGAGCTTGAAGTCTGGCTCCGAATTTACCTGGCAGCTGAGGGAAAAGGAAGGTCACTGCTGCATGGCCAGAGCCCCTAAGGGTTCAGGCCAGGAGTGAGGGTCCCTGAAGTCTCCCTGGGAGTCTAGAAGACAGAATGCTTCCAGATGAGGTGCTCCCCTGCACCCTCATTTCCTCCCTGCTAGGAAGCCTACTGGTAGCCATCTCTGGTCCCAAAGGGAAGCCCCTAGCGTTCTTGAGGCCTGAAACAACTGTGTAGCCCCTTCCCAGGGTTCCGCTGGGGCTTAGGGAGGTTGGGGAGCTCCTCTTCAGGCATTGGGTCCGGACCTGGGCCGTGCTGGGGAACCCCTTCCTGAGTTGGAGGCAAGATGGCATCCTCCTCCTGTTCTCTCCACAGACACACAGATTTGTGTGTTTACTCGCCCAAAACCAAATGTGAAAGCCAATCTCTCCCCCCACCCCCGTCAAAGCCAGTCTCCCCTTCTTGCCCCCTGTCAAAGCCAACCACCCCCCTCCCCCCCCCATTAGCCCTCTCAGCCTTGTCGCCAGTTCTGTCCCTGGAGCGGCCCACTGAGAAGGTGCTTTTCCTGTCCCTCTAGCTCCCTTCAGGGAGCCAAGGGATGAGGTTGCAAATAATGTAGAATTTGATTTCCCATGCAATATTTAAGACACATGACTTGAATAATTAATAGTTCCTCACAACTTTATAAAACATGTCTCCATGTCCTCGCCCCACCCCCAGAATGACTTTCCCACCCAGTCAGCCCCAGATGGGAGACCTCACCAAGCCAGAAGGGATCTCCCCCTCCTGCCGCTTCTGTGAGTCCCACCCCAAGCAGCCGCTTTCCCCTTCACCACTTCCACCCCACCCCAGTTTTCACTTCAATTCTAGGGCCACCCCAACCTACAAGCCTGTGTGAGGAGGCAAAGGCACCATTTGTGGAATGTGACCCTGAATTACAGAACCAGAGTCTTTAAATCACCTTTTGATCCTGGTCCCTGACTTTATGATCAGAGAAGTTAAGTAACTTGTCTGGAGTCACACAGGGGATCAAGGCAAAGCTGAGAACCGAAGGCTCTCTTCAGCCTCACCCTCCGCAGCCTGGGGCACGCTAGAGTCAGCAATAGTGCCAGAAAGAGCCATCCTCTCTGTGGTGGGTTCTAGGATGCCAGCCTCCGGATCTGCAGAGACCAGGCAGCGGGACTGGGTAGGAGGCGGCCAGTGAAGGTGGCACCTGGAGAGGGTCCATGCAGAAGCAGGGCCAGTAGTGGGAACAGCAGTCAGCGAGTATCCCCTCTATTCCCCAGGTGCCCTGTGTCAGACTGGGGTGTGCAGCCTTCCTTCTTGGGGTTCCTCTTCTCCTGAGAAGTCATCCATGGAGGCCTCCCTGTGGAGGTTACCTGCCCTCTCCCAGGAGCTGAGTGGGTTCCACTTTTGGTGTGGAATACTATAGAGGGGTGGGGGAGGGAGAAACCTTCATTTAAATGCAGATACAGCCTTCTCACCTGGGACTGAGGAAAGTTTTTTCCATTAAAATGCTAATGAAAGAACAAACTGCAACTCCAAATCCCACTCACAGGTCCCTGCCTCCACCCCCTACCCTGATGCCCAGATGACTCTCTCTTAACAAAGGACCCTTCTTGGCTTCTCCAGGGCTTTCCTGGGGTCCTTACAGCCTCATCCCCTTGCTCTGGCTTTTGGGTTCTTTGGCAACTCTCTGGAGAGGCCTATGGAAGTGGTAGGTCACCTTTCTGAAGCAACCCAGGCTGGAGAGGTGGAGACGGATCTCAGGCCACTTTCTAGCTGTGTGACCTTGCAGGTTCTGTCTAAGCTCTCTGAATTTTATCCAGCCAAGGGATGCCAGCTACCTTGTAGAGTTGATCAGCAATTCAGATATATATATATTTGAATAGATATGTGTGTGTGTGTGTGTGTGTATCTGTCACTATAGATGGAGACATTAAGTGCTGTAGAGACAGGGAGAAAAGGGAACTCTCTTATAGTACTGGTTGGAAATGTAGATTGGTCTAGTCTTTCTGGAGGTTCCTCGAAACACTGAACATGGACTCCCATATGTCCCAGCAACCAACCCCAAAACACTATTTCAAAAGGAAACTTGGTCTCCTAACTTTGATCTCAGCACTATTTAGAATAGCCAAGTCGTGGAAACAATCTAAATGCCCAAGGACAGATGAATTAGAAAAAGGTGGTGTGTGCAATGGAATATTACTCAGCTGTAAAAAATGGTGATCTCATGCCATGGAGAGAGCTGGCAGGGATTACACTAAGTGAAATAAGTCCAAAGGAGAAAGATAAATACTGAATGGTTTCACGTATATGTGGAATAGAGAAATCAAACAACATGTCAGATGAGGACAAACCTTGAAAGCTGACCATAGATCTGGAAGATCCAAGAGGGGAAAGAACACAATGAACTATGTCTATGACAGAAGGGAAGTGGGGTGAGGTGGGAGCACAGAGGTGAGGGGGGTGCAGGAAAGGAGGATTGCCGGGGTGTTGGTGGTAGATGTGGTAAGACTCCAAACATTTGGAGAAGTATAAACCTATACCTCAAGGTCATATAGTGTGATGTTAACCACCATTACCTCAATAAGTGTAGCACAATAAATTAATTCAATAAAAGCTCAGTAGATACCAGCTGTTCCCACTGCTGTCAATATAGAGGTGCAAACTCTCAGAGGTCAGAACCTTTCCCAGCCACACAAACCTGAGAACATTGCCATGGCTCGGTGAAGATTCCAGAAGTCACCTCCAGAAAGTGGGGTGCTGTCTCAGGGTCCTAGCAACCCCCTCAGGCCAGCCCTTTCCTCCGCAGACGCTGACCCTCTCAGACCTGAAGCCCAATCGGGGGCCCATGTCGGGAGGCACCCAGGTGACCATCACAGGCACCAACCTGAATGCGGGCAGCAACGTGGTGGTGATGCTCGGGAAGCAACCGTGCCTCTTCCACAGGTAACACAGCTCCAGGCAGGTTCTGGCTCAGCACAGAGGGCCAGCAGGGGTTCTCATGGCAGCAGGCTTCCTGCCTGACCGCCTAGAAGCGCTCCCTCCCTTTCCCCTGAGCAAGTGGCTATTCTCTATAGCAAGGTCTCCTGGGCACACCTGGCTCAATCTGGAGGACCCCTGGGCATCCTCGCTGGATGGGCGCACCATGCTATTGCCATTGTTTCATCTGGGCTTCCATCTGCCCTCTTGCAGAACCCCCGAGTTCCACAGGACACACTTAAGTATCTAGCTCCTTACCCCTAAGTTAGCTCCTTACCAGTGGACCCTGCTAGCACCACTGAGGGCTTCTAGAAGGAGCGGCCCCAGCTAATCTCCCCAGAGTCCCCCCACCATAGAAGAGCAGGCCCATCCTTGAGCCAGGAGCCCCGGGAACAGGCAGGAGGCAGGGGCAGGCAGGACCTCATCCCTCTGCAGAGTGTGGGCAGCAGCAGATTGCTGGAGGAAGCTGTGCCCGGACCTGTCAGAACTGTGGCAGGGTAAGCCAGCCCAGGCTCACTGTGTCCCACAGCGGTTCTGGCACTCAGTAATGCGGGACTTTAAACTCAGGACTCTGGCTACAGGGTCACGACTGTCACGGTGGGGAGAAAGCTGAGGCTTCGCAGCCAAGGAGCAGAGTGAGGGATGGGGGGGGGGGTGGAAAAGGAAAACAGGGAAGCAGCGGGCTGGGGCTTCTTGCTGACCAAACAGGATTCTTGTTGAGGGCAGGACAGGGTGATCAGGTATCCGGGAGGCACGGGGAATTGGATCAGCTATCAAGGGTGCTCAGAAATCAGGTCTGGGGTGTATGTGTGTGTGTGTGTGTGTGTGTGTGCACGCGCGTGCATGGGTGTACACATGTGGGGATTCATAACTGTAGCAGGATTCTTGTTCAAAGGGTAGTTAGGCAGACGGAAGACAGGGCCCGAGGACAAGGCCTAGAGGGAAGGGGGCTCATAGGAAGCTCTCTAAGGTGTGGCCAAGGGCTTGTCAGTAGTTAATGTCCAGACAGTGCCCACCCATTGCCCCTGAGAGGTCTGATGCCAAGCAGGTGTGGGAGAACCTCAGGACCAGCCCTCCCCCCCACGGCCAGTGACCCCCAACGTGTCTCCCGCCCTCCAGGCGATCTCCATCCTACATCGTCTGCAACACCACGTCCTCAGAAGAGGTGCTGGAGATGCAGGTGACAGTGCAGGTGGACAGGGCCAGGATCCACCATCAGGACCTGTCCTTCCAGTACCTGGAGGATCCCACGATCGTGCGCATCGAGCCAGAGTGGAGCATCGTCAGGTAGGGCCCTCCAGAGCCGCCCTTCCTGCCCTGTGACCTCAGTTCTCCTCCTTGGACACTCAGAAATAAGGAGACTTCTGGAGCCCGGCCCTGCTTTGGAGATGGGAATGGGATGGCGGAGAGCAACTCTCAAATCACGCCGTCCTGCCAGGCCCCCTCCTTCCAGAGACAGCCCCTCCTAGCAGGCCCGGCCCTCATCTGACGGTTTGTGGGTGCCTGGGGAAGCCCCGCTCCTCTCCCTCCATGTCTGTCGGGTGTCAGGCCTGCTCCCCTAAACCTCACTTCTGTAAAATAAGGGCAATAATTCTCATCCTGATGAGGGATGTGGGGAAGATCCGTCTTCTCCTGGTCTCCTCCGGAAGGAAAGCATTCTTGAGCTCCAGGTCAAGAATTAGCACAGATGAGGACAGGCAGGTAGAGCTGCCCCTTGCCTGCAAGCAGCCCATGTCACTCATGACACGGTGGGGCATTGGGAGATGCATGTAAGCTGATGAGTGGGAAGATGAGGGAGAAGGCCAGGGAGCAGAACATCCTCAAACAGAGCCATGGGTAGAAGAGCCTCTGTGGGTCTCTCTTGCATCTTCCTGTATGTGTGTGTGTGTGTGTGTGTGTGTGTGTGTGTGTGTGTGTGTGTGTGTATACACAGAAGATGTACACTACACATCTTCTGGCTGTGTTCGAGGATGTCCTTCTGCTCCCCAGCCTTCTCCCCCATCTTCCCACTCATCAGCTTAACACACATCTTCCAATCTTGCCCGCCAAGATCATAAATGCTTAATGTTTTAGCGGGTGGAATTCTCAGGAATACTCCCTTGACTGTGGATAAGTGGTTCCTCACTTTCCTTTGAGTAACCTCGGGCCCCCAGCCCCCACCTCACATCAGCTTCTGCTCATCCTGAAGACAAGACATTAGCATCCAGGCTTCCTCGGCACAGCTACACAAAGGTGAATCTCCTGATCCCTTGCCATCAGCAGGCTGACACTCCAGGGTGTAGGAGACCCGACTCCTAGCATTTCACGTTTATGTTCCTTAAGGGGTTCCTGGGTCTCAGTGCTCCTCTTTCCCACATCCCAGCCAACTAGAGCTTCTAAAGTGAAGTTTGCATAGGAGTGCAGGAGTGCCGGGGGGTGGGGGGGGGGGGGGAGGAGGCTGCACTCAGACCCCCAGGGCCTGTGGGGGACACTCTAGAGCCAGAGCCGTGGCCAGTGTGACAGAGCTCCCTGAGGCTAGAGGGGGCTGGAGGAAGGGGCCCCAGGGACAGCGGGCAAGCATCTGGGTGGGCCAGGGGCCTTGGGCTGCAGACAGGGCCTCCACGGGTGTCCACACTCTGTATGTGCTCACACAGGACGCTCCCGGACATCTGGTCATCACTGTCTCCCCGCTGGCAGCTGAGCGTGCATCCCGATTATTATTCCGTCATCTTGTCATTGATGTCCCTGAGAACATCATCACGCCCCTGCCCTGGTGGTCATTGTCTTTAATGTCAGGGCTCAGCCCGGTTGATCGCCATCACCACCATCATCATCCTCAGTGCCATCGCTGCCCCTGTATTTACACGCCTCTTCTTTCTTCCTGGGCAGTGGAAACACCCCCATCGCCGTTTGGGGAACAAACCTGGACCTCATACAGAACCCCCAGATACGTGCCAAGCATGGAGGGAAGGAGCACATCAATGTGAGTCCATGGCTGGCAGGGGCCCTGGGGACTGCCCACTCAGCGGGTCACTTCCCTAAAGGGTGTCCTGCTCTCGGGCCCCCCCAACTGGTGACCCCTGGCCTGTGCTGGGATGGGGAGCAGAAGTGAGGGCTTTTCCACATTTCAGCAAAAAAGCAGGAAAAGCAGCCATGTCTGGGGGTCCATACCCTTATTCTCCTCCCCTCCCTCTGACCCCCAGTGCTGAGAAAACACCCTAGTCACTGTTATACCTGCTAGACAAAGGGAAGCTCAGGGCCAGCTGCGGGGCTCACTCCTGGGCACCCAGGTCCAGTGTCCTGGTTGTAAAGACCCCAGGACCTGCCCCTACTGTCCTGTGTCGACGCCGGGCAATACCACCGGAGACCCCGCGGGCACAGGGGCCGGTGGGTGCAGGCGCATGGGGCAGGCATGTGCACACGTCTTCACTCTGCTCCTCCGCAGCTCTGTGAGGTTCTGAACGAGACTGAGATGACCTGCCAGGCTCCAGCCCT